TTTTTTTTTTTTTTTTTTTTTTTTTTTTTTTTTTTTACTTTTCCATGCACAAGGCATTTCATTTGGGTCTTCCATAAATTATCTTGTATAATTCACAAAATGCTATGAGGTATGAGCTAGGTAATATGACCCCATTTTTACGTCATAGGAAATTGGAGCTTGGAAAATGTGAGTAGCATTCCAAGGTATAGCTAGCGAGTCGGTGATGGAGTCAGGAATTCCACACCCAGATCTAAGTCCAAACTCTTCACCGTGTCCTCTGGAAATAATGCGGGAAGCCTTGGGGTGATTGGAAGAGCTCAGAATTTAATGGGGTCACCACAACAAAGCCTAAGTATCAACTTAAATGGCTGAGACCATTGCATTTTCTCTACCAGTGGAGTATTTATCAATTCTTGTCCCTGGAGGAGGAGGAGGTGAAGGCTTTTCAGGGGCAGATTTAAAACTCACCCGAGCCTTATGATTTCTGAGTTTTGACTAAAACTGCAACCTTTCCAGGTCTTAGTTCATTTGCATTTGGCTATGTTTAGCTTCCCTGTTTCTATGAAGAAAGGCTAAAAGGGCCATTTAAAAAAAAGTCTCCAAAGACTCCTTGGCCATCAGAAAAGTTCTCAGTGCAAGGCATTCCTAATGACTTATGGAGAAAGCAATCGGAACCATATGGATAACATTTCTACAGAAATACACACGGGTGGGAAAAGGTTTAGAGGCCAAAAATATATTTCTTTTTTTTCTTCTTTGCCAAAGAAAGAACATTTAAGGCAGCTTGAGATATGTGAGAAATGTCTTGTTCTTTCTTTGGGGTGGGTGTTGGTGAGCAGCTGTTTGCTATTTCCACTAAATTTACCAAGGGCTTGCATGGGGAAGAGGCGCCAAAGGATTAGGGTAGACTTAAGAAAGAACTTCCTGTCTGTAGATCTTGGTTGCTACTAGAATGAAACCATTTTCCAAGGACATTTAATGTGACAATATGATGGTTCCTTTTTAGTCTTCCCAGCATGGTGATTTGATAAGCAATGGATCATATTTTTAGAGTTGCAGACCCTTTTTAGAACCTCACATCGCCATGGGCCCTCTCTCTCTTATGAAAAGTATACTTACAAAAATGCCCACAAAATTTGTCATTGAATTTCCTAGAATCTCCTTCTCACCATTCTCTTTTAAAGATGTCTACACCTGGACCCCCACTTTAGAACCTCTCAAGTAGATAAATTTTCTGGTCTCCAGCCTGACCTTAGATCTCATAGGTTGTTGCTTCATTTAGGTTTGAGCTGAAGACATTGGAAAGGGGAAACCAAAAAGTAGGTAAACAACCTTTTCCAGGAATAGACGAGAAATATAGATAAATGTTCCATGATGACATGGAGGTTCCACTTCCCCCTCCTTAAATAAAGATAAGATTTAAACCTATTTGTGCAGGACTCAGAGCCACCTGCCGCTGCCTCAAAAGCTTAAGTTTACTACTTCTGTCAAATCTCAAAGGAGTTAAAATCCCTTAATCTGGGGTGCTTTGGGTTCAGAACTGACTGAACACCTCCAGAAAGAAGCCCACGTTTGTTAAGTGCCGACTGAAGGTGAGGTTGTGTAAAGGATTCAGAAATAAATATCTTTTCTGGTCTCTGTTTTCTAAAAGTCTGAAGTCCATTGCCAAGCCATACTTATCCCTAAATAATCACAATGCACCATAGAATGTTGCTGGCGTATGCAGGGTCTATGGGAAATGTTGCAAGAGAGAAGAGGGGAGAAAGTTTGCCACTGCATCAGGCATAATATTTTGCACCCATCGAGAGCTATTTTTACTTTGTTTTAAAAGCAGTTGTATTAATAAGAACTAATATTTATTGAGTGATTACTATGTATGAGCAACATTGAAGCCTTCCACGTCTCCCATCTAGGTTTTTATGAGCATGTTCTCATTGAATAAAAATGCCACATGCCATTTGGTGAGCTCCCTCCCTCCCCTCCCCCTTTTGTTCCCCCTCTCTCTCCCTCCCTCCCCCATCTCTTTCTTTCCCTCTCTATCTCCCTCTCTCTCTGTCTCTCAACTCTCTCTCTCTCTCTCTCCAGCAATGCTTCACTTTGCGTGACCAAATCTGACCCGTTCTTAAATATTTAGTTTACGTGCCATATCCTCTATCGATTCAATTAGGGTAAAACAAATTTTACCATGAACTGTACAAGGCTGTGCATGATCTTTCTCCTTAATATCATGTCTCCCCCTTCATTCCAACCACACTGACCCCCTTCCAATTACTAGAGTTTACAACTTTTTTTTTTAATGCCCCTTGGACTTTGTGCTAGCCGATTCCTCTGTCAGAAGCCACTTCCCATTACTAGCCAAGCTCTGCTTGTTCTCTAAGTAACAGGGTAAATGTCACTTCCCAGACCCTAGACTAAGGCAGGTCCCCTGCTACCAGGTCTCTCACAACTCGTAACGTGTCCTTCATAACGTGTATCATCACTGTGTTTAAAGTTATGGGTGATATTTTTAAATGCATGTTTCCTGAGCTAGAACTAAAAATTACAAGCACAAAGGATATCTTCATGATGAGATCTTGGCACATAAAAATATAGTGAACATGCATTAACCATGCCCTATGTCCCAGGAGCCACTCTGTGTGCTTCACAAATATCCTTTCTTTTAATCCTTCAAACTGTCTTTAATATCCGTATTATTCGTATGATCATAACCCCCATTTTAAGATGAGGTAAAGTGAGA